GTGGGAAATGTTCAAGGCATAGAAGAGAATTTAATGCAATACAAACATTGCAATGATTGACGTCGATTACAATTCTACGAAGATGTAAAGCCTATGCACGTCCTAGGGTAAAGTGTCTTGATCCACTAATATCACCAAGTATTGGGTATATTTGTGTGAGGGGTAATGTTGGCTGTATAATTTGTAAAAACCAATCACAATTCAACACGTGGCATAAATAGGGCAATTTGGGGAGTTAATACAAGTTGCCAACCATAGTCAAACACGTGTCAGCCCGTAATGATAATAATGGATCTGCGTAGCACTGGAACAATTGAGTGTTATAAAGTGATGTGGCCTAACAGCTACACACAAAGTTCAAATTCAAAATCAAGAGAGAAACCTAACTGCAAAGATGGCATAGTGGGATTGACTGTGAGAGAACATGTTCAACAATCATGGGAGGACATTTCGACAGTTAGAAAAGTTTAAATAGCAGAAAAGGCCCTAGAATGAGAGATCCAAACTCAAGTCAAAAAACCAATTTTATTTACTTTGTTTTCCCTTCCAGTTTTTACAGTTTTTTACATTTCTGTACTTCAAATTCCTATACTGCATTTCATTCATAGGAGTAGTTTCAAATAACTTATTACTGTAAACCTCTACGAGGCTAGGTCAGATCATTGTAAGTTTTTTATTTTACTTAATGAAATTTTGAAATTATTTTTCACTTAATTTTTATTAACTAAATTCTCCCAAACAAGCCACCGGTAAAAATCCTCTTCATTGAGGTTAAGAGTGTTGGAAATGGTAGAAAAATTCTGGGTAAAACCAGAATTTTTTTCTCAAGTTTGGTCTATTTTTTAGGTGGGCCCCGAGCGTCGATTTACTCGGGTCAAAGTGGTAACGCGTTCTATGCCGCGTTGTGATTCACGTGGTATATTTGGTTGCTCAAAACCATTACCGAGTGAATGGGAAATTGAAGCCAAAGTGTGCTCCATGGAAATGGAGTGTTGGTAGAAATTCCTTAAGGTTGTAAAATGGCTTGTCCCACATTGATTTGGTGGGAAGTTTTGAAAGGGTTTATAAGGCTTGGGTGAGATACTTGGGGTGTGCCCCAAGGGGTACCCAAGTGTTTTAGAGGGAGAGGTTATCGGCAAAATGGGCTAGACCCATTGGACCCAAAAATCACCACACATGCGCGCCGCCACCGCCGTCCAGTCGGGCGGGCTGGGCTTGGGCGCTGGTGCGTGGTGTGTGGTTGGGTTGGGCTTGTTCGGCCCAATACTAATATTTTTGAGCCAAAAACATTTGAATTTAATTTTATTTTTGGTAAAATAAAATCCAGAATTCAAATTAAACTGATTTGGATTTTCTGTACATCCAAACAGGGCCCTTCCCGTTTTCAAACAGGAATAAACTAGTTTGGAATTAGTGCACACCCAAACAAGGCCCTTCCCGTTTTTTGCTATCTGTTTGAATTATTAACAGATTCAAATCTGTGTGAATTCAAAACCAACAGGTATCATACCTGTTCAATTCAAAACCAAGAGCCACCTTTACATCTATAAATAAAACCACCCTCATTTGATGTTATTCATTTTTAGAAATTTCGTATTTCACCCCTGTTTATTCTATTCTTCATTTTGTTGCATTTTATTTCTGAAAGAAAAAGTGTAAACACTTAGTGTGTTCGTAAGGTAAACAATTTGTAGTGCTGCTATTGTTTGTGGTAGATCATTTCATCCTGGGAGATAGACGTCCGAATTCTGAAAGCACCGTGGAGAGGACGAATCTGTCTTAAGGACACAGTATTAAACACTAGACTTGATCAGAAAAGTTATTCAAATAAATTAACCAAGTAAGTTGTTTAATTTTATTCTGTTTTTATTTGTTTATTTAATCAGATTTTATTTTTGTTTTTGTAACAAAAGAAAATCTGTGGTTTTATTTATTTATTTATTATTTCGAGTTTGATTTTTGTAATCAAAAAAATTCTCTCATTTTCTTTATTTCTTTATATTCTTGTTGTTGTTTTGTACACAACAAAATTTAATCTATTTAAATACAGTGAAGATTGTCCAACAATCTTAAGACAGAATCCTTTTTGGTATCTTTATTGTATTTAATTTTCTGTGTTTTCAAAGTAGTATTCTGGTTGAAAAACAAATAGTGATTTATGCTATTGGGCAGATAGTAGTAATATACTGTCTCTTTTCTTTAACAACTAGTAGTAATATACTGGTGTCATTAACAATTGTAGAATATTATTTGGTATTACAGAAAATTATTATGATATTTTATTTTTCTAGTTTTAGTAACAAGGAAAATAAAATTATTTTGTTGTTATAATTTATTTTCTGGTTTTAGTAACTAGAAAATTAATTTGTGTTTTAATTTGTTCTAATTTTTGTAATCAGATATTATGGCTACTACAACTGAAACTGCATCTGGCAGTGGTACTCCTATTGTTACACCTACATCTGTCTCTATCCAAAACCATGTTCATGTACCAATCAATCATGGAGAAAAATCGGAAAAATTTAATGGTACCGAGTTTAAGAGATGGCAGCAGAAGATGCTGTTCTATCTTACAACTCTTAATTTGGCCCGGTTTCTCCATGAAGAGGCTCAAGCACTTAAAGAGGGTGAAAGTGATCGGCAAGTTGTTGCCACTATAAATGCTTGGAAACATTCAGATTTCCTGTGCAGAAACTACATCCTCAATGGCCTTGACAACATGTTGTATAATGTTTACAGTCCTCTGAAGTCAGCAAAAGAATTATGGGATTCTTTGGAGAAGAAATACAAGACAGAGGATGCCGGCACGAAGAAATTTGTCGTCGGTAAATTCCTGGATTTTGTTGTCCCCCAACTCCAAACGGTAATATCTCAAGTTCAAAGTTTTCAAATAATTTTACATGATATTCATTCAGAAGGTATGTCTCTTAGCGAGTAAGTATTTGACAAACTATATTGTTGTAACAAAATCCATTATTTCCCTGCAATAGAGACCGAGAAAGTGTAATCTTAGCCTACAACAACTGATTTTTTATAAAAGATCACCTGCGAGCAAATAACGGTGAGCTACCCGGCGGTGTGTGGCCGGAAAAACCCTCCGACGATCAAGTTAGCACACACCTTAGTATAGAGAGAGAGAGAGAGAGAGAGAGAGAGAGGAGTGTTTGAGTGTAAGAATTTCCTTACAAAGTGTTCATCTCTCTCGTATGAGGGGCGCAGACATGCTCACATACCCTCTGCGCCCCATATCCACTCCCAGTCATCTTCTGACACGTGGCTTCTGCTATCCCATCTGTCAGCATAAACCTTGCTGAACATCACCTAATCTCAACTGCCTGCCTTCTCAGTTGGAGCTCGGCAGCCGAGTTTCTCTATCCACGGCCGTGCTGTGCTTCGTATCCAAGCACTTCACTGGCTAAGCCCAATGAGGACCGGGCTAGGCGGCATCTCGGCAAAGCCTAGCCAGGGCACCTCCCGTGGTCGGCCTTCCTGCCGATCAAATGATTACCTCGGCTAACCACGCCTTTCCGGGCGCCGGTCACTCAACTTGACTGGCTCCGCCATTGCCTGATCAAGCAGCTCGGTCCAATCGAGCACTGCCTTTCCGAGCAGCTTCTTTATGGTCCGGTCGGCACATGCTTGGCCCAACTCCTGCCCGGCCCAATTCCTGACAGCCTGTCAACGGGCGGATCGCCGGTCATCTCAGCCCCATGCACCATTAGGCTCTCAACCTGCTCGGCCGTTACCTCGGCCCAACTCCAGATCATAAATCTCCCTCTCACTATGGAAAACAAAATTGATTAAATATTGCAAGTTGAGACGGAACAGTTTCATTTTCATACCCAAATGCTTTTTAAATGGATATCTATGTCAATGTTTCTCTTTTGCCATTGGGTCCTTCATAATTACCAAGGCCTCATCTTCGTTAGCACCCATTTTGGCCAACCCATCAGCACTCTTGTTTCCTTTTCTCAAAACATGTTGCTCTATGTAACCGCATTTGCTGATGAGAAACTTTGCATCTGCTACCAGGCTCTTCATTGGGAAAGTTATCACAAATTCCACTTTCAGCAATTCAATGGCCTCGGTGGAGTTAGTATTGAAGATGAGGTCTTTGTATCCCTTCTCAAAAACAATTGTTAAGCCTCTGTAAATTGCTCATAGTTCTGCTTTAAGACTTGTACGCATGTCCAGCTTACCGAAGAATCCATAAAGCCAAATACCCTTCTCATCTCGGATTAAGCCACCAAACCCGCCTTGATTGCATTTTACACAAAATAAAAGTAATTGATTTTTTCAATTGAAACACACACAAATAAATAAATAAAAATAAATGACATATATTGATTGCATGAATCACCTTTTCTCACAATATTAGTAAGCACCAAACTAGGCATGAACAAAATTATAAGGGAGCAACTAGGGTGGATTGGGGCTATTGTTTAGGCTTATTCCGAATTGTTGGGTTTTTATTTGGTATAAGATTTGGATTAGAGTGTTGTTTGGCCAATGAAATCCATCATAGGCTCTATTTTGGTTATTTAAATTATTTATTTTGTAGTAGCCTTTGTGTATATCATCTATAAAAATAAAATAAATAAAACAATCTACTAATTGTAACATATTAAATACTATGACCAAAAAACTAAACCGTAGTTGTATTTTTAAGTATAAATCATCAGTTACCGTTGGTGACAAGCAAATTATTTAATTAATTTATTATTATTTTTTTTAATGAATGATATACGGGAAAAAAAATTATAAAAGGAAGAGTTGGGTAATTGACTGGTTTGTGGTGGGTCCCATAATCACTTTGGCAATAGTGATATGTTTTCTTCTTGCTAACAACACACTACTAAAACACTCTTTCTCAACGTATGAAGTCTATCATAATTTATTGCATTTATGATTAAAAAAATAAATGGCAGCTGTATTTTTAAATATAAATCATCTATTATTTTTTTATGACAAATGTGTTATATATTGAACATGTTAGCCCTCCACGCCTCTCGAAAAAAGCTCCTCATCAAAATTCCATGGCGGAGGAGGAGGATGTCCCTGATCGGAACCTTTGGTTCTTCGTGGCGGTTCACGTCGGCGAGGGTTTTCACGCGCCGTCGAACGAGAAAGCTCTCAGGTCCGCCATGAAACGTGCCTGCCTCGCTGCTGCTTCTGTTCTTCGCAAGGTATTTCCTTCGGATCTCCTCTCTTCCCCTCCATTTGGTTACCAAGAATCTTGAGGAAAATAAAGGAAAAGGAAATTTAAACTAGAATATCTTGAATCTATGTATTATGTCGTTTTGTTTGAATTCTGAACAGTTTCTAACTATTTTCAGTTGTAAAGGTAGTGTTTGGTTTACTAGAATAGAATATGATCATTTCATCACAATGTCCATTCTCATATTTGGTTTGTTAACAAATGAGGAAAAATGCATTATAAATAGAATCATTACTCACCATTGTAAGTCTGAATGGTCATTTCACACAGATTATATAGATTGATTATTCCATTTTGTTCTACTAGGTATTTGCATATTGATGGAGGGCCTGCTCTCAGAAGTGTGTTAGCATGAGAGAGAGAGAGAGAGTCTTCATGTTTGGGCCCTTTTAAAGTTTGTTAGAAGGGATTACCATTATTCATTTTTTTTTTTCAAGTTGTATGCCATTTTCTGCACTTCCTAGATGTATCATAGAAGTAGAGCCCTTGTTATTCTGGAGCCTGAACTCTGAATATGACTGAAATTTTGTTTTGGATATTATGGTGAGATGGTATAATTTGATCTATGCTTTGGAAAACACAAGACAATGCAGGCTTGGACAAGGATGGTGACCATTGTCGGACATGAAAAATCTTTTGAACATTAACAGTCTTGAATGTGGAAAATTATAGATCACGTGCTTTTGGAATCCAAGGATATGACTAAGAGAAACAATAGCTCAACAACATGGTTTGGCAGCAGGCCTAGATTCATGGTGAAACTGGCAAAATGATGATTTAGGATGAATCATGAATTACAACATAGAAAACTGTTTTCTTGGTAACCTGGTGAAACCCACTGATATTTCTCATTTGTAATGCGGCCTGCCTTCACTTCTATCATTGCATCTCTTACCAATTCATTATGGCATTGTTAAAAAATGTCTCCAATTTGCAAGCCTTAGGAGTTCTTTTTAAGTCGGTTAGAAAGAGAACCCTTGAAGTTTTTAGAAGAGACTCCTGAAAACACCTTATCATACAAAAGGCTAAGTTGTTTTGCTTCTTCCTTGTTACCTCTTTCCATGCGTTGTGTACTTGATAACCCTCAAAGGTTGCCTTAACAGATAAATTGTTGCCTGTATCTAGAGGGAGAAACACTGGTGGAGATGTTGATAACATAGAAGAAGAATATTGTGTATTGATTATCGAATTAATCAACCGAAAGGGCTGAGTACAAATATATAATCTGAACAGAATAAAATCCTAATAACCTAAACTACCCGTAGTGAATAATATAAAATACTAATTCACACCCCCCCTCAAATTGAGGATGTGAATGCAGAAAGTATCGAAAGTTTGCCAAGAAGAAAATGAAAACGAAAACGATCAACAGTGTGAGTCTTCGTAAAGAAATCGGCCTACTGAAGAAAGGAGGGAACAAAAGGAAGAGTAATAGTGTCGGCCTGAAGATGCTGTCCGACAAAATAACAATCTATTTCAATATGCTTTGTCCGTTCATGGAAGATGGAATTATGGGCAATTTGGATAGCACTCTGATTGTCACAATACAACGAAGTTGGATCAGAAAGAGAGACACCCATATCGGAAAGAAGCCACTGAAGCCAAACTATCTTGGAAGTAGCATGAGCCATGGCACGATACTCAGCCTCAGCGGTGGAACGAGCAACAACAGACTGTTTCTTACTCTTCCAAGATATGAGAGAATCTCCGAGAAAAACACAAAGATTAGAAGCGGATTTGCGATCAGAGATGTCACCTGCCCAATTAGCATCAGCATAGGCACGAATAATCAAATCCGAGGAGGTAGATAACAGCATATATTGCAACAGAGTGCCACGAAGGTAGCACAGAATATGGAGTAAGGCAACCTAGTGTGTGAAATGAGGAATAGAAACAAACTGACTGAGAATGTGCACAACATAAGAGATGTCTGGACGTGTAATGGTGAGATAAACAAGGCACCCAACCAACTCTCGATACAAAGTGGGATCCTCAAGAGAAATGCCATCAGAAGTAGAAAACTTAGCATGCAACTCAATAGGAGTGTCGACAATTTTGTCATCAATGAGATTGGCACGAGAAAGAATATCACGGGCATATTTAGTTTGAGAGAGAAGATACCCAGTGCGAGAAGTAGCAATCTCAACACCAAGAAAATACCGAAGAGACCCCAAATCCTTCATCTTGAACTCCTGAAACAACTGACGCTTAACTTCCTTAATAGTACTAGAATCAGAGCCAATGATGATCATATCATCCACATATAAGAGAAAGAGAACAAGTCCAATAGAAGTGTGTCAAACAAAGAGAGCACAACCATGATGACTAGGGCGAAAGCCAAGCTGAAGTGTAACAGAGTGACATCGCTTATACCAAGCACGAGGAGACTGCTTGAGACCAGATAGAGCACGACGAAGACGACAAACAACACCGGGAGGGTGAGAGAGACCTAGTGGAGGCCGCATATACACTTATTTAGCAAGATGCCCATTCAGAAAAGCATTTTTGACATCGAACTAAAACAAAGGCCATTGATGGGCAACAACAACAGAGATAAGAGTGCGAACAGTAGTCATTTTGGCAACGGGGGCGAAAGTCTCATCGTAATCAATCCCATACTCTTGAGAAAAGCCTTGGGCAACCAAACGAGCTTTGTACTGTTCCAAAGAACCATCAGAAAGCGTCTTGACCTTATAGATCCATTTACATCCCACAACATTCTTGCCAACAAGTAATGGAATCAAATCCCAAGTCTGAGTATTAGCCAAAGTAGTTAACTCGTCATTTGTGGCAACATTCTAATTTGGATCATGACAGGCTTCCTTGTAAGGCCTGGGCTCAAAATAAGTATAAAGACAAGAAAGAAAAGACTGATAGGAAAGGGAAAAACATGTATTACCGGATTTGAAGGATGACGGCTCGCTTTGGAAAGCGATGTGCAGGAGGTGCGAGATCCAAAGAAACAGCTGGAGGGACAGTAGAGCTAGAAGCAGATGAGCTTGGAAGTACTTTGTGGCGCTGATAAACAAGAAGAAGAGTAGGGGAAGTTGGAACTGGAGAGGGAGCTGGAAAAGCAAGGGGGGAGTAGTTGGCGAAATATCAGGAGTGCTAGTAAGAGGCAAGGGAGAGACCTCAAGATTAGAAACAAACTCATTTGGAGAAACATCAGAAGGAAATGGGTCAATATGAACCAAGTCATCGTTGGTAATAGGGACCCGCCGGGGGGGGGGAGGGGAGGGGGGGATGGGGGGTATAGTGTATATTGGAATATGGATCTTCTTAGAGTGTATAAAGCTTGTATAACAGCTTGTTATTCTTTCCTTATTAAAGGTTGTATAGCTGTACTCATTTATGTTGGCTAGAATTAGGTTGTTTCCTTATTTAGATTCTTAGAAGTCAACTTATTGTACTTTATTTATAGCCTTGTACAGATTATGTTTGAGACATACGAGAAGAATTATTCTCTTCCAAAGCTTCATGGTATCAGAGCAGGTTTAGAAACCCTAACCCTAGCAGCCTCTTAACCTAGCCTTCATTGCTAGGATTATTCAGCCTTTATAGTTAATTCACTGTGGCCTTCATTGCCATTCAAAATTTCTGTTATATTCCTCTGATTGTTGCTGCTTTTTGCCATCTCGGATTCAAGTGAATAGTTGGTCCCTTCTACAACTTTTTTCTGTGTCCTCTTCAGATCAATTTTTTGTCTTGCTGCCCATTGATTCCTTCATTGAATCATGTTTGAGGTCACAGATGCTTCTTCTTTAGACCCAAAAGCCCTTTCAACATCTGAAAGTTTGAGCCTCCAGATTGCTTCAACAAAACTGAATGGGACTAATTACCTTGAATGGTCACAATCAGCAATGTTGACAATCAAAGGCAGAGGGAAATTAGAATATCTCACAGATCCTCCACCAAAGCCAACCGATCCCAATTTCAAGACTTGGGATGTGGAGAATTCCATGATTATGTCATGGCTACTCCACTCTATTCAACCAGAAATTGGGAAGACTTACATGTTCCTTAAAACAGCCAAGGACATTTGGGAAGCTACCGCACAAACTTACTATAATGTAGGTATGAAAGCTCATATCTATGAACTGAAAACGAAGATTCACAACACAAAACAAGGATCTTTCAGTGTCACTGAATACTACAATACCATCAAGAGCCTTTGGTTGGAACTAGACCATTATCAAAGGATTGAGATGGTGGTGTGCATCACGGACACTGCGAAGCTGCATTAAGCACTTAAAGAAGAAAGAATATTTGATTTCCTTGCGGGGTTAAATGGTGAATTTGATCAGATTTGAGGCAGAATTTTGGACAGGGAGAATTTGTCATCCCTGAATGAGGTTTTCTCAATTGTTCGAGGAGAAGCAAGTAGGCAGGTGGTGATGCTGGATAAGCCTACCAGTGAGAATTCGGCCTTGGCTGCATCAAAAGTTGCTTGGGGAAGGAATGAAGGAAAGAAAAATTTGGATAGAGAGAAGATGTGGTGTGATTACTGTCACAAACCATGCCACACCAGGGAGATGTGCTGGAAACTGCATGGAAAACCACAAGGCTTGAAGGGAATTGACAGCAAAGGAGGAAGTCAGGCAGAAAAATGAGGTCAAGCTCATCAAACTGTGGCTGTAGATGACTATAAGGAAGCTATGGGGTTCGGCAAAAGTGAGGTTGAAAGGCTGAAAAAGTTGCTAAATCAGGTTGATAATCAAACCACAAACTTGACTCCACTTTCAGGTTCTTGCTCCATGGTCCAATCAGGTAATAGCTTTGCCTTAATCACCTCCAAGAGTGTCAATTCTAGTATCTGGATAGTTGATTCTGGTGCATCAGATCACATGACCAGCACCTTCAATCATTTTTCAACATATATCCCATGTTTAAGAAAACAAAAAATCAGAGTCGCCCATGGTTCCTTGTCCCCTATTGCCGGAAAAGGAAATGTCCAAATATCACCCACTTTGTGCCTAAAATCAGTCCTCTATGTTCCAAATTTATCCTATAATTTGCTGTCTGTAGGAAAACTCACTGACGATTTAAAATGTTCAGTTTTATTTACTTCCTCTAGTTGCAATTTTCAGGATCCTGCTACAGGGAAGATGATTGGGCATGCTGAATTGAAGGACGGCTTATACTTCTCGGAAGCAGATTTGGTGAAAAAGAGTCAAGAGTCTCAAGGCTTGGTCTCTACTACATTTCAACAAAAAGATGATCAAGTTTGGCTCTGGCATAGACGGTTAGGACACCCTTCTTTTCCTTTGTTGGAAAAAATGTTTCCTTCCTTGTTTACAAATAATAAAGTGGGGAAATTTCATTGTGAAATTTGTGAATTGGCCAAACATCATCGTGTATCCTTTCCTTTGAAAACTCCACAAATGTTATCTCCATTTAGTTTAATGCATTCGGATGTTTGGGGTCCTTCCCGTATACCAAATATTTTTGGTTCTCGGTGGTTTGTCTCATTTATAGATGATTACACTCGTACTACTTGGGGTCTATCTTATGAAGTCCAAATCGGAAATTTCCACTCTTTTTCCTCTGTTCCACAAATTCATTAGCACTCAGTTGGGGACAAAAATACACACAATTAGATCTGATAATGGCAAGGAATACTTCAATCAAGATCTCATTACTTATTTTGCAAATGAGGGCATCCTACATCACTCATCTTGTGTTGACACACCCCAACAAAATGGAGTTGCAGAAAGAAAGAACCGACATCTTCTTAAAGTCGCTAGGTCCCTTCTTTTCCAAACGAAAGTTCCTAAAACCTATTGGGGGGAAGCAGCACTCACTGCTGTATGCTTGATAAACCGAATGTCGTCAAAGAGTTCTTCAGTTTCAATCTCCCGTGAGTACACTCTCATCCTTGTTTCCAAATTTCCAAGGGGTTGGGTCCTTATCTCTAAAACTATTCAGATGTACTTGCTATGTACATGTTCATAGTCATTTACTGGGTAAACTTGATCCTAGGACTATCAAATGTGTATTCTTAGGGTACTCTCCTACTCAAAAGGGCTATAAGTGTTATCACCCTGCAACAAAAAGGAAATACACCACTTTGGATGTTACTTTTGTAGAACATCAACCTTACTTTGGGGACACCTATCTTCAGGGGGAGAGTTTAGGAGAAGATAGCTGGTTCATATTGTTGCTACCCAAGAATTTGTGACACAACTACCAAGAAATTTAAAAGAAAGCACATACAATAACTGTACTCTATAAAACAATTCATTAATGGTTGTTACAATTTTAATAATTGAACTACAATTGTCGCATTTAGTATTCAGTCAACATTGACTTAATAAATTACTAATAAAATGAATAATTAAATAAATAAGACATTCACTGATTAAATAAATTATTTGAAATTTCAACTTTTGCAGATGGATAAGAGAATCCTTAATACGCTACAACGAAATTTTAATAGAACCCTTAATCACGTTGTAGCTTCAGCAAGGAGTTTCTTGCTGCATTGACAAAGACAATAACAAATTAACAATGACTAGTATGCGATAATTAATTAAGATGAGTTGAGGAAATAAGTTCAGCAAATTAACAGAAAATCTGATCAATGAAGTAATAAGTCGTGCAATTATATCTACTATCAGCACTACGGAACACAGTCAAGGATCCTCACGGTTGAGCTATGAAAATCTCAAGACATAATCCCACAATTGTAACTATTTTGAGACGGGAATAGAGATATTTGGGACAAAGGATCTCATGCCATGTAACACTTCCCATCTGAACCTCTCTAGAATGACCTTATTAATTGAAAGGTAAATGAACTGATATCTAAATATGCAGGCATTTAACTTTGATTTATTTTTTTATCAAGAAACATTGATTTAATTATGTCTGACTATCAAATTAACATGGCCAAGTTGCTATAACTTACAATGATTATATAACTCTTCATAATTCTCTCTAATAAATTATTAACCAAGTGGGTTTACGTATGCTGGCACACAAGTCAATGAACGCAAACAAACAATTTAAAATTTTAATTTTACCATACATTAAGTAAGTAATTGGAATATAGAAATGAATCAATAAGCAAACGTCAATGAAACTTCATAAGTCAAGACTTTTTTGAAAGTCTACTACCCATGCTCTTTCTCACCTCACACGGCAGTACAGAACACGAAATAATGCTGACAGTTCACTACCTACCATTTCCTTGGAAGTTCTTAGATTGTGCTGTGTTATGAAAAAAATGTGCACCCCGAAAAATGGATTGTAGAGTTTAGATTTAAACTTGGTACAATGTAAATCATACCCAAAATAAATCTGATTGACATTTGATTTTCATGATATTTTTCAGGGTGCGCAGCGTTGCTGGTTATGTTACCTTAAACCTACATTTGGATCAAGATTGAAGGAGGAATTTATAAAAAGAAAGAAAAGAGAAGAAAAAGTCAAGAAAATTTAACTTTTAGATTTACTTTTCCACTTCTTCTTGCCTTTTTCTTTCCCTCAACTTTTTCTTCTGGATAAATTACAAATATGTGCCCTGAGGTTTAGTTAAATATAAATTTCCCAACAATAAAAATTTTAAAATTATAATTGAAATATGTGTTTGAAATCATTACAAACTGTTAATTGATTTACTAATTTATTAATAAAATGAATAATTTGTTATAAGATTAAAAATTTGAAAGAGTGAAATATAATTTCTAAAATCACAGAGTAATTTATATTTTAAATAAATTTGTAATTTACCCTTTTCCTTTTCACTTTTCCCTCAGTTTTCACTTTCTTCTCTTTTTCCTCTACAAATTCATCCAAACCGCATTTAAAATTTTTTACGTGAAGGAAAATGATGATTGCCTATTGAATGAATAATCACAACAAATCAACGAATGAAACCAATTCAACAAGATTGACACAGTCAAAAAACCACAAGTGACAATTCTTTCATCAATCCAGAGGCAAATCAAGTTTTTATGGCTTGTAAATCATGGTTTTAACCCACAGCATTTTCATAAACTTAAATCATATATCAGTGTAAAATTCAGGTAGATTGAGAGGGAGATTTATAGGCTGGCTTGGGCTGTGGTAGAAGCCGGTCAAAATGAGGGCCAAGCGTGTTTGGGCCGAGCTAACTTGGGCTTGTCCAGAGGTGGTTTTGCCCGGTCGAGGCCCAGGACCATGTTTGGACCGAGCTACTTGGGCTTGTCCATGTCCAGTATCGGTTTTGCTCGGCCAAGGATTAGGTCCCATGTCTGGGCCGAGCTTACTTGGCCGAGATGATCGCCTGCCAAGCCGATTTCCATGGTTCGCACGTTTAGCTCGGCGGGAAAGGCCTTCTGTTTACCGGCTCGACCTGTCTTGAACTCGGCTCTGCCGGAATGCTACTGAGCTCGGTTGTTATGGAGCTCGGCGAGTGAAGCACTCGGACTCGTTACACAGCACGGTCATGTGAGGCCGAGGTGATGCCGAGTTCCAGCTAATGTTGTCTGGAGGTTTGGTTAGGTGGTGTTCGCTGGATTTGTGCTGACAGATGGGAGAGCAGCTCCACATGTCAAGAGACTAATGGGTGCAGAGTTGAGCGCAGAAAGTATATAAGCATGACTGCGCCCCCCATGCTGGGGATGGAACATCATTTGGTCAGATAAACTTACATTCATTCAGCTTCTTTCTCTCTCTCTCCTTGAGTGTGTGCTAACTTAACCGTCAGAGGGGTTTTCTGGCAACACACCGCCGAGTAGCTCACCGTTGTTGTATTCTCAAGTTGATCGGATAGATTCGGAGCTTGGACGAAAGGAGTACGGACAACGACGAACATTTCCTCCCCGTACATAGATAAAACGCGCTAATCATAGTTGCGACGACTTTGGGTAGAAAAAGAGTTGGGTCCTTCCTTATCTTTACCATTGAAATGTCTGGGCAACTTCTTTAGAGGGCCCCTTACTCACCTTCTGGAAGACCCAAATTCTAGGGTTTCTTTCTTCACTATTATGACTATAATATAAAAAGGGCCTATACATATGATTGAAAACTAGGCTAGGCAAATCGAGCTGAGTTGCGTAGAACAGCGAGTCGAGCTGAGCCGAATAGAGCAGTTGTTTAAGTTTGATTTATTAACTCTTAAAATTATTTTTAAGTTTGACTTATTTATATAATGAGTTGATCTCAAGAGCTTTTAGTGAGTCTAAATAGCTTGATTGTTTGTAATGCATATAAGTTTATTGAGCCGAACTGAATAGCAAATTGTTCAAGTTTAAAATAAAAATTTAACAAACTTAAAATTGTGTTTAAACTTGATTTGTTTACACAATAAATCCATCTCAAACAAACTTTTCATAAATCGAATAAGATTCAAATTCAAATAGCTTGATTCATTTAACATGATTCGAAATGTTACGAAGTACTTTTGTGTTTTTACTCTTTTTATAGTTTTATTATATTATTATTTTACTTTTTAAATGTATTTCTAAATAAACTTAAAAAATAAAATATTTACAATAAAAAAAAACATTTTCAAAATTCACTAGATACACTAATTTTATTTTTTTATTTTTTATTTTATTTTCGATTTCTCCACATTTATTTTGTGAGTTTTGAATTCAACCTCGATGATATTCATTGTCCCTTCGACAACCTAATCCACTGAATAGTTTGACATGGTATTTTATTTGGGGATTTTTCTTAAGGTTTTTGATATTAAAATTTTATAGTATAAAGAACATCCAATATTTTCATAATATCTAAGGTCCCTCACAATCTTAAGATTGTGTTTCAGGAACCTATACATGTTTTAATAACTAATTCTTACCACTGTGGACTAATGCCCAAAACCCATCTATAAAGTGGACGAAAAATGCCACCACGATATGTAACAGTTTAATTAGTTTAAATCTAAAGATTATATCTTTTTTAAATGGGCACTCAATCCATAAATTCAAATATTAATTTTGTTTGGTTAAAAATTCATACATTTAAATATTTTGTCCAAAATAACCAGCTTAAATAAAATGGCCAAAATACAAATGTTATTTTCTAAAGAAAACCCTGCGTAATCGCATGTCTCTCTCTCTTTTCTCTCTTCTTTTCTCTTCACTTTAGCCACCAATACAACCACTTTTGCCACTGACATGGTGCTCTAATGTTGCTGCCGTGGTGCTTCGATCACGACGATCTTGTCGCCATGGTTGTTAGACCTCCTCTCTCTCTTCTGTCTTCTTCATCTCTTTCCTCTCTAGGTATCGCAGATCTCTCTCTCTAGGGTTTTATTTTCTCTCTCTACTCTTTTCTCTCTTTCTTCGTGACTGCCGTGGCCACTGTGAGTGGCGGTAGGCATCGGACACCATCCACGGCAATACATTGAGCATCAGATCAATGCTTGGAACAAACTTCGGATCATCGCCGGTTTTCACATTTCTCTCCTCCCCTAGAAAGTCTCCATCGTCATTGCCATGGTTGTCGATCGGTACTTCGGTGACTCAGATTTGCAAATCGACCGAGTCAATCTCACTCAGATCTAGTTGGCCTAAACTCTTATATCAGATAAGTTAGGCTGACTTGGCTAAGAATACCACCCTCTCGATCTTCGCTAGTGACCGGATCGATGTTTAAGGTGACGATCAACGTCTAAGATCTGTCCACAATCGATGTCTAAGGTGTTTGCAGTCATTACAGTGACCTTCATCTTCTTAGATTTGATTTGATCGTTTGAATTTGAATTCGATGTTTGTACGTATAACAGTAGCTTATGTGTAAATCAGAATAGAGAACTTTAATGATGGTGGAAAACTGAGTGCGAATCATGAAGTGAAAATTGGAATATAGTTGTAAAAATCACATTTTCGGGTCATCAAATAAACCCAAGTAAATCGACTATAATCATCCACAAAAGACACATGATATTGCGAACCACTCTTGGTAACTATAGGGGAAGGACCCCAAACATTAGTATGAACCAATTGAAAAGGAAAAGATGAAATAAAACTACTTTTATTCAATGGAAGAGCAGACATTCTAGTTAGTTTACAACCACGATAGTCCGAAATATCATCAATGGGAAAATTGCCTAAATGTCCAGACCGAACTAACATTCTTAAACGGTCACTTGACAGATGACCTAACCTAGAATGCCAAATATAAAATAAAGAAGACTTATTGTTTAAAATAAAGGAAGACAATGCAGTAGAAGACACGTCTAGAGGAACATGCAAGCTGTCCAAGATATATAGTTCTCCAACTCTACGCCCGATCCCAATCTGTCTCTTGGATACCCAATCCTGCACAACACAATGAGAAAAAGAGAAAACAACATCAAATCCAGAATCAGATAATTTTGATTACAAAGATGGATATGCAGATAGGCTACTCCAACATATCCGCGAGGGAGTGTTACCCCTTAGCATCTACAACATATCTACAAGGAATCCCACCGCATCTACGTCAGGGCCGAAGCTTAGGCCCCCCGCGTACTCCAGGCGCTAAAGAGTATGTTTAACCCCAACAAGGGGTTATGGAGACTCGAACTCAAGCCTTGAGCGAGGGATTCTAAGGTGTTATCTACTGAACCAACCCCCTGTTGGTAGAATCAGATAATTGACTAACAGAAATAAGACTGAGTGAGAGGTGAGGCATATAAAATACAGGAGAAAGAGACAAACAAGAAGAGGAAATAGAACCACTAGTGTACAAGCATAGAAGAAGGGGAGAGATGCAACAGGGGTCATATGATGTGAACAACCAGAATAAAAAATCCACGAAGTGTGGATATTACTTGAAGAAGATAAACCAGACAAACCTAACTGAGTGGTAGTCATAACAAAGGCCTGGGATGAAAGATTTGGATTGGCCACCATGAAAGATTGCTCAAACATAGACTACATATTAGAAGACGGACCATTCTCAGAAATTGGTGCAGAAAAGGCGGCAGATGAGTGAGATCTTGAAGATTTCGGCTTAGAGGACGGTGGACTAGACGAATGACCCTTGGGCTGCAAAAGTTTAGGACAAGCATGTTTCCAATAGCCTTTCTGATGACGGAAGCTGCATTCATCCATGGAAACCCGAGGTTTAGGCTTACCGGTAACCTGAAATAAAGAAGATGGTGGGGTAGGCTAGAGCGGAAGAGTGGCAAAAACTGTCTGGGAAGCAGGAGCACCATGAGCCACCTTGAATCGAGTTTCTTCCACAATAAGCTCACAGACAGCACTATTCATAAAAGGCAAGGGGGACCGATGAAGAATAGCTCTCCGAAGTGTCTCAAATTGATCACAGAGTGCCATAAGAAATTGAATAAGACGTTGCTTCTCCCGATACTTAGTATAACTGTCAAGTAATAGCAAATCTGATGGTTCCGTTAAAGCAAGCTAATCCCAATAAGTAGTCATCTCATTGTAGAACTCCTAAATGGACTTATCTTTCTGACTAGTGCTGCGAATAGACATCTCAAGTTCATACTGTTTTGCAAAATTAGGCTCAAGGTACATAGTTTTCAAATAGTCCAAAACTTGTTTAGAAATAGAATACTTGGAAAAATTCATGCCAATGGTAGTTTGAATTGAATTATGAAACCAAGTAAGAATTTGAGCATTTTCCTTATCCCATTTAGCAACATCGGTCTTAATTTCTTTGGATTCTATAGGTCTAATAGTCACACAAATAACATAGTTCCACATGCCTTTACCTATTATAAAATTTTTCATTACATGAGACCAATAAGAGTAATTGGTACCATCCAACTTAGTGGTGATACCTTGCAGTTTATCATCAGTTATATTGCTATAATTAAATAGCACAATAAAATCAAAGTAGATTGAAAAAAAACCACTAAGAGAGAGAACCACAAATATAATAACCACTAAGAGAGAGAACCAATCACCCACAAATATCAATAAGAGAGAACCAAGTCAAAGAAGAGAGAGAGAGAGTGAACCCGAAACCAGAAGCAGAGAGAAACCGAGGCTAAGAGATTGAGCCAGAAGTCGAATTCGAAGTCAATTTCAAAGTTTGGAGCGAAATCGAGTGGCAAGGTCAAACCTTACTTTGATCGCATGAACCAAAGGGAGAGACAGAGAGATCATCAACCAGATTCACATAGGGGAATCGATCGAACCAGACAGAGAGAGCTTCGATCGAACCAGATGAACCAGTTGAGGGGTCAAAATAGGTTAAAGAGCATTCGGCTGTGTGAGACACGCAACCTAGGTTTCTGACTGAAGCAGAGACCAGAACTAGCTACCAGGAGGAGTAAAGTGCTTCGAAGTGTGAAGAAGAAAATAGAGAACCCCAGCAAAGCCTTGCAAAGAGAGAGAAAGGGCTATGACGGCCTTGCGAAGAGAGAAAAGGGACTACGATGGTCGATGATGGCCTGCGACAGGTATTCTAGCGTCTGGGTTGTGGCTCTAATACCATGATAACAGAGAAGAAGAATATTGTATAGTGACTACTGAATTAATCAACCAAAAGGGCTGAGTACAAATATATAATCTAAATAGAATAAAACCCTAATAACCTAAATGACTAAACTACCCTTAATGAATAATATAAAATACTAATTCACAGTTGTTATATCAATTCTAATACCAAATATAAAGAATATTAAAGTTAGTTATGTGGTTGTTTTGTGATTTTGTTTTTGAACACACACCCTTTAATGCACTTGTTTGTTTGCTATGTTTTAGGGTCCTGGTGGGTGTATAGATGCTGTTTCAGCTGCAATACAAGTCTTGGAGGTATGCTGCTTGTTTCTTTGTGTGTGTGTGTGTGTGTGAGAGAGAGAGAGAGAGAGAGAGTGTGTATAATAGATTCTGCCTGTTTATGTTGCCATGCTGTACTTTATTTAAGGCATTAAAGATTTACTTTGTGTTGGATGTTGATTGTCTTGAGTAAGTTACAATGTTGAATCTATAGAAATTTGGAGCATGCAAATAATCGTTAGTGGTGGAAAATAGAACTTTTCATTCTAAATGAACTAGAAGGATGTCATGCACTATGGGCATGAACTTATCTCATCGTATGATTTTTGAAATTTATTTTTTAATGAATTATTGCAACTGTCTTCATTGATTTATATTTTTAAAAATTCTTACACAAATGAATTAATCAATTCCCTTTGTACTTTTTTGGAAATAAAAAAAATATAACATGTCTTTGGAAGTAGGCTTTACCGAATGGGATGTTGCTTTAATATAACAATATAGATTAGAATAAGGGTTAAGAGGATTTTCTGGATGCTGCTCAGCAATTTCCATATTGCTAGATTTGCTTTACAATGCAGGCGCAGGTTCACTAAAAGAAATTTTTTAAAATCACTCATATTTTGAAGCTAGAAAAAATTATGGATCTTAATGAACCTTTAAACTTAAGAGACTTTGAAAAACAAAAGCTACTCTATATTTATTTTCAAAGCAACTTTTAATTTGAAAAAAATAAATTAGTTTCTCTTCATCAACCACAACCCCAGGCTATGCCTCGTAACTACATTGTGCTTGGCAATGGTTCATCTGCACATCAATGATCCTTACTGTTTTTTTACTTCAAGAACAATCCACCCTTAGAAAACAATAAAAGGAAAGCACAAATTAGAACAAAAATTGACTTGATTTTCCTGTCTTGGCTATTTGTTTTCCACGATCTTTTGTCTATGTCCAAATCAATAGAGGATGATATGTTGCTGTAGGGTTGCTTCTGAATCTCTGTTGGAATTATATGTCTCTACGGTCCTTTTCTTCCTCTTCCTTTTCAAAGTATTGTATTTAGACTTCAGAGTTGTCTTATAGTGATTATTTATTGTTGTATTATCTTGTCTGCTAGACAAAAATGTTTACCCAAGTCATCCTGAGCTTAGCATGAATCAAGATTGCTGCTTCATTAATGCTGCTGTCCCTGTTAGAATCTCTTATTACTACTATATTGGTGACTTTAATGCAGTCAACAAGTAGTTGTGTGGAGTTGATATTAAAATTGAATGGCCCCTAGAGCTCACATGAAGATTGCATAATGAAGGCTCATCATAATACCACTTTGATTGGCAGATAACAGTTGAGCAACCATGATCAAGATGACATACTAGAAATAAGATTTGATTTTGGAAGCAGCCTATAACTGAGACATTTCTTATTTGATGAGATGCATAGAGCCCAAAATACTTTATACATTTTTTGGTGGGGAGAGTGGGTTGGGTTTGTGGATGGGACTTTTAAATGCTCTACTTGTGCAACAACGCAACCAAGCCAATCTTCTGCATGTCACTTGCTTGGAAACTAATCTGTTTTAAAGCTACAAAGCTGAAAAGTAATAGTAGTGGGTGGTACGAAGAGTTCTTTATTTTCTTTTGTATAGGATGCTTACATGCAACTTGGATTACGTGGAAAAAAGTAAGAAATTTTACAACGTGGACTCTAAAGTCATGTCAATAGTTAACTGAAATTCATGGATTGTTCTTTTCTTTAGTATTTTGTGAAATTTTTGGTCTTGTATATGGTAGATGGAATTACACATTTGAAACTACAAGATAGTTCAATGACATTTTAGCTGTGCAATAATTGGTTTGGATGAACATAAGCTAGTGGTACATGGGCTGTCTGGGATCGTTGGATTGGTTCAAACTTAAGGGGACCAATACAATGCCCTAGGGGGATGGTTGGGCTTTGATGTTGTAGGGTTGTTGGGTGTGTTAGATATGGCCCTAGAACATTCCTCCTATCTGTTTGATGTGGAAAGAGCCATTTCATGCAGTGGAAATTTTTTGATAGTGTTTCTCTTCTGAATTCTGTCTAGCTATTGTGAATTTCATTATTGATGAAGTTTGTTTCTTTAAAGGATGATCCAAGCACAAATGCTGGGTGTGGCTAAATTTGACTGAAGATGGTCATGTGGAATGTGATGCCAGTATCATGGATGGTGATTCTGGGGCATTTCGGGCTGTTGGAGTGGTGCCAGGTATTCCTGAAGTATAATTAATGGAAACCATACTCTAAATAAGTAAATAAGTTTTTATGTTGTGAGCTGCAATTTCTTCTATTCTTTGGCTTTGATAATGTTATGGAGCTTTCATTTTCTTTTTATGCTCTTCATTTCTGTGAAGTTAATAATCAGCAGGTGTCTGGAATGGTATCCAATTGCTGCTTTGTTGGCCAAGGAACAAATATTGGGGTCAACACTGCTGGGTCGAATACCTCCCATGTATGATTACACCTTTGTTTATCTTTGAATTTTGATATACAAATTACCTCTTTCTGGGTGACAAGGGATGGGTCAAGACCAGGCATCTCGTCGTATGTCCAAGCAAAGACGTCACTGTACCGTTTCAGTAGTGTTATCAATTCCGCCTTAGCTACTGGGGCCATTATATCGCTGATAAACATGGGCTTGCTTTGTCCTGGTAAGTCGCTGAGGTTTACCTCAGCAAGTACTTCCTACTACAGTTTGGGTCTATCTTGCATGCACTCAAGAGCGGGCTCAGGGTTCTCTACCAACCCTTCTTGGAATTAGTCACCATCACACTTGTTGGTCTCGGGGCCATCCTCCCAGGGTATGAAGTTTGGCCCCCAAGACCTTCATAGGTAGTAAATTGTCTTGCCGCCCTCATGCACCTTAACAATCTTGGGTGGTGGACTTGTGGACTTGCTGCTCCTCTTCTGCCCACTACTTTCTGGAGCAGCCTCTGCATCCCGAATGCCTTTTTACTCCTGCAACTTTACCGGTCCTAGGAGTTTCACCCGTTGACAACTCAGTAAAGAAAATTGCATCTGAATAGTGTGCCTTCTCAACCCCAAATGGCTGTTCAGATGCATTTATATGGTTACTGTGCGCTTTGGGAAATGGTTGTGTGTTCGGGGTATGCTGGATTTGGACATCATCAAATTGAGGGAGCAACCCTTGAACCACGGTGCGATACGGGCCCAACAAAGGCTCCTTTAAGGCGAAATCACCCATTGTTTGCCTGACAACTAACTCGAAGTAGCCCAAAATTTTCGACTTGCGGAGTCCCTTCGTTTGGGCAGCGATTAGACCCAGTATCAACGCCTTATATTCAACCTCGTTGTTTGAACATTCAAAATCAAGCTTATATGATAGATGAAACTTCTCGTCTTCTTCACTGGTTAGTGTTATGCCAGCACCCGAAGCTCCATCAAATTTTAAATCCCAATAAGCGTCAACTACAGCGGCTGAGACATGGACCGCACCTGGTAGAGATACCTCTGCAGGTTCATGTTCACCAAATGGGAATTGGGCCAGTAAGTCTGCAAGTACTTGGCTCTTAATAGCCTTGGGAGTGACACAAGTGATGTCATATTCTGCTAGAGCCAAAAGCCATCCTGCCATTCTTCCAATCAGAGCAGGTTTGCTTAGCAAGTAGCGGACTGGATCACTCCGGGGTCACAACATGGATCGGGTGTGCCAAAAAATAGTGGCGCAACTTCCGCGCTGTGAAGATTAAGGCTAAACAAAGCCTCTCAATTAGGGTATATCGCGACTCGACACCATTGATTTTGCGACTGATGTAATAGACTGGCTTCTTAATGCCATCTATGTCTAAGACAAGTAAAGCCCCAATAGACCGAGGTGTAGACATCAGGTACAGTAGCAGAGGCTTGTTGGGTTGTAGGGCAATCATTGTAAGTGCTTTCTTCACTACATCAAATGCCTGCTGGTGTTCTTGCAACCATACAAACTTCTGATTCCCTTTCAGCAGTGTCCCAAAGGAAAATGTTATCTCAGCAAGGGCTGGAATGAACCTCCTGAGATATGACACTTTGCCTAGGAATTTCTTCAAAGCCTTTTGAGAGTGTGGTGGTGGCATCTCCATGATTGATTTAATCTTATCCCCATCTACTTCAATCCCCCACCGGTGTAAAAAAAAGCCAAGGAACTTGTCGGCGGTAACTCCGAAGGCACACTTGAGAACATCTTTAGGCAGAATTTGCAGCACCGTTGAAAAACTTTTTCCAAGTCGCAGAGGTGTCAGTTTGCCTCGGTAGACTTAACCACAAGATCATCCACATATACTTCCACTTCATGATGCAACATGTCATGAAACACTGCAGTCGTAGCCCGTTGGTAGGCTGCCCCTGCGTTTTTCAAACCGAAGGGCATCACTGTATAGAAAAAATTTCCCAAGGGTGTTTTAAATGCCGTTTTTTCTGCATCTTCTGATGCCATTTTGATCTGGTTATAACCACTGAACACATCCATAAAGGAGAACATCTTATGGCCTGTAGTAGAATCGACAAGTGTGTCAACATGGGGCAATGAAAACTCATCTTTCGGGCAGGCCTCATTCATTCAGGTCGGGAAAGTCTACGCAGACCCTGATCTGGCCGTTTTTCTTCTCCACGGGCACAATATTTGCTAGCCAAGTTGGGTACTGTATAGGCTCAATGAACTTGGCCCTCGGCAATTTTTCTACGTCTTAATCTTTTCCTCAAGGTCAGGGTGCTTCTAATGCCATTTTGATCTGGTTATAACCACTGAACACATCCATAAAGGAGAACATCTTATGCCTGTAGTAGAATCGACAAGTGTGTCAACATGGGGCAATGAAAACTCATCTTTCGGGCAGGCCTCATTCATTCAGGTCGGGAAAGTCTACGCAGACCCTGATCTGGCCGTTTTTCTTCTCCACTGGCACAATATTTGCTAGCCAAGTTGGGTACTGTATAAGCTCAATGAACTTGGCCCTCGGCAACTTTTCTACCTCTTCCTTAATCTTTGCCTCAAGGTCAGGATGATACTTTCGAGCATGCTGCTTTATTGGCTTAGAGTTGGGAAAAGTATCCAGGTGATAGGTGACAAGAGATGGGTCGAGACCAGGCATCTCATCATATGTCCAAGCAATGACGTCACTGTACCGCTTCAGTAGTGTTATCAATTCTGCCTTAGCTGTTGGAGCCATTGTGTCGCTGATGGCTTGCTCTGCCCTGGTAAGTTGCTGAGGTTCAGCAAGCACCTCCTGCTGCGGTTTGGGTCTATCTTGCACGCATTCAGGGGCGGGCTCAGGCGTCTCCACCAACTCTTCTTGGGACTCATCATCGTCACATTTATTTGTCTCGGGGCCTTCCTCCCAAGGTATGAAGCCTGCCCTCCAAGACCCGTCTTAGGTAGTAAACTGGCTTACCGCCCTCCCGCACCTTAACAATCTTGGGCGGAGGACTTGTGGACTTGCTGCTCCTCTTCTGCCCACTACTTTCTGGAGTAGCCCCTGCATGCCGAATGTCTTCCCATTTTGGCAATTTTACTCCTGCAACTTTACCGGTCCTTGGAGTTTCACCCGTTGACTCAGTAAAGAATACTGCATCCGAATAGTGTGCCTCCTCAACCCCAAATGGCCGTTCAGACGCATTTATATGGTTACTGTGCGCTTTCCCAACTTTGCCTTCACGCATTGGTGATAACTCGACGGGATAGCTCCATATCGGTGCATCCAAGCTCTGCCGAGTATCATGTGGCAATTTGTGCCCGCTTCAATCACATGAAACTTGGTTGCGGAATGGATCTCACCAACTGCTAAGTCCACGACCACATGACCCTTGGTATCTTTTTTCTAGCCGCCAAAACCCGTCACAGTGATGGGTTGGCGAACCATTCTGGACTCTGGGATCCCAGCCTTTGCAAAGGTGTCAGTAGTGATGATGTTTATGGACGTCCCCGCCATCAAGGAAAGCACGCTTGAACTCTACATCGTTGATGTATGTTGTGACAAAAAGAGGACGATTATAGGGAAATAGGTATGCTCTGTCTGCCTCTGAAAAAGTAATGGCCCCATAAGCTTCCTAAATGCGCCGGGGCACATACTCCTTAGCCTCAGCAACTTCATCACGGTGCACTTCAAAAATATTAATGAGGGCTTTTGTTGCTCCCAACCTGGCAGCTTGGCCCAGCCCCAACTGGTCAAAGAAGGCGCAAAACTTAACAGAGTTTTGTAAGGCCTGGGCATTAGCATCCTCTGCAAATTTTGCCTCTGCAAGTACTGTCTCAGGGAGCTGGCCGGTGGCAATTTCTTCTAACTCATCATAGTAAGACACCATATGCACTTGATCACGCACAGGCCCGAGATAGCCAATCATATATGTTTATTCTTTCCCTTCTCCTTGTGGTTAGGATAAGGGTCCTTCTATACATCACGATTACCGGCATCTTTGAACTTCGGCTCATTTGCGTCAACTTTCTTCTTGAAGATACTTTTCAAAGTCCAACAGTCCCTAGTAGGGTGTCTGGTGGTTCTGTGATAGACACAATAATCCGGGCTTTCTTTGTCCTTCTTGGTTGGAGGGACATCAACTGGAGCCAAGGTAAGTTTACCATCAGCTACCCATTCTTTAACCAGAGCCTCAACATTCTCAAGGCTGCAAGGACATGGATTTCTGTCCTCATAACTGTTTCTCTTCCGAAAGGACGTCGCCTATCCTTGCGAGCGGCTCCCTCCTGCAGAGGTTACCGCAGCAACTCTGCTACTGCGAGGGTAGCGGTGGTTGTCACGAGATCTGTGCAAGGCACCAGTGGTACTGAGGTTCCTAGCTGCCTCAATCAAGGCTAAAACGGTAGGCATATTATGATTCACCAAGAAATTTTTGTAGTCACGTATGGCACCCCTCTACACATATGCTGACTAAATGGGCCTTATCCACTGGTTCATAACAGTCAATAGCCTTATCTTGGAACCCCTTAACATAGTCCAGTATATCTTCGCCCTCCTTTTGGACATCTCGCCCAAAGGTGAGGGTTGTAACTTCGCTTTGACTTGGATTCTTTCTTCAGCTGCCTCTATGTCATTCTTTCTGCTGTCTGGAACTAAGTGTGCTAACATAGCCATTCTTCCTGAGGGTACTGCCAACTCAACTGGTAACACAGCTTCAGACCCGTACACTAGGGAAAATGGGGTTGCCTGAGTTGGCTTGGAGAACTCCCGAAGGCGCAGAGAGTGGTCACTGCCATGGACACCAATAGTTTCAATGAAAAGTGGACTTGGATAACTCCCGAAGGCGCAGAGAGTGGTCACTGCCATGGACACCAATAGTTTCAATGAACCTCACCACCTATTCTCTGGCATTGCCTTGTTTCCTATCAAACTTAATAAACTTGGGCACTGTATACCCAGTTGGGTATGGCATGGTCAATATCTCCTGAGAGTATGGGGCCTT